GGGAAAGACAGGACCTTATACTCCAAATTAGTCCTCAAGAAGCATTATCCTTCCATGAAGAAGTATTGCTTATATGATTGATTCAAATGTTCATCATGCTATCCAAATCTTTTTGAAAAAATGTTTTTTTCACCAGATTAAAAATATCCAACTGCTACTCAAGTGGATGACAGTAGAGGTTCATTAGTTGTTTCATACTGTTATAAACAAAATCTTTGCATTGGTGTGACACTCAGGCATAGACTTTTTGGGGTTTAGAATGCAGAACTGCAGAACGTTTTGGTTTTGGTGTGGAAAGAGAAATTATTTTTTATTGCTTTTCTTGCACTGTGAAGCCAACAGATTTCATGTATGTTCTTTTGTATGCTTTTTGTACTGAAAAAAACCCCCCAAACACTAGTGTATATAATAGTTATACATTAGTGTATTTTTAACATGAAGTGACTACTACAGGCAGCAATGTTTTCCAGACTCACAATAATGTATTAAATTTCAAGTGATCTTAAATACAAGGTGATTCACACTTTTCAAAAACTAAATAGAAATTATCCAAACTGAAACACTTCTTTTGTAAACATTGCCTGTCCAAACGACCTGACAGTCAGTTCTGTCTGCTACCCTGAAGGCTACATGCTTCATGAATCTCTTTGCTGACGGACCAAGGAAAAGACCTCGTTATATGCAGTACTTGGTGAAAATGTATTATGGAAGTTGGTCCCAAGTGCTTTTTGGGAACTGGACCAGCTACATGAGATGCTGTTGAAATTCCTTCAGGGTCTCTGCAACAAGTCTGTGTCTTCAGTGTTGTCCATGATAGTAATATGGATTAGATTTTTTTCCAGAGATTTAAAACTCAAAAGTTTATTTCTGAAATGTTTGAAGTGTTTATTTTATGGGAGTCAAGGATATACTAATGAAAATCTCATAGAAAATTTTCTACTTTTGAGATGAAAGATGTTCTATATGTCGGTAAACAGTAATAATATTTCACCTACTGTATCACTCAGATCAGCATATACCAGAATATATGTTCCAACACTAAATATCTCAATTAATCTTCCCTTTTAAGTCCATTTACTAATAAAATAGGCATTCTGTTCTTTGATTAATAACAAATCTGTTTGCAAGACACATTTAAAATGTTCCTACATTGCTTTAGCATTTAGTCTCCTCATTAAGGCTACAGAACCTCTTTTGCATTTTAATTTTGTTTTTCAGTATTATTGAAGGCTATTGAAACTGATGAGAAAAGCTCATAAAAGTCTTGAAATGATTTGCAAGCATGAGTTGCAAGCACTTAGCATTATTCAGAGTAATTCATAAAGATGAAGTAGTACTATGTTCTCATCTTAAATCTTTAATGAAAATAGTCAGGGGATGTCATTATTGATGAATGTACCTCTGTACTTCTTTAGGTACTGCAAAAATAGAGAAAATCTATGGTTTTGCATATTAGAGCACTAACTCGCTTTCATAAGAGAACGACATTCAGAAATTCAGACTCTCTTTTTGCTTTGTGTGAAGAGAAGCGGTAAGACTCTCTATTCCAGAACATTATTCAGATGAGTTAGATGCTGTGTTCTAGAAAACTGTACATCCTCAGCTTCCTGTGACCTTTTTAAGTGGTAAGAATTGATTTTACACAGCATGCTCAGACACATTCCACTCATGGAATAAAGTATATAAAATGGCCACATGGGATTACATTCATATTTTTATGACCTAGTGGCTGAGTCTAATGCTTCATTTGGCAGAGCAGTCCTTAAATTGCTTTTTAATTAAGGTGGGATTTTTTTGTCTTTTACATTAATACTGAAGGGTAATATATCCTACGAGTGGGAATGTGCAGAAGCCACTAGAGGGAGAAAAGGTTACCAAAGCTGGAGTTTTTTGTGATGGAATCTGCACTTCCATATTACATACTGTTTTCCTTGGAGCTTTCATTACACACTGGGGAAAGGACGTGAGTTTCTGGATGCGATTCTGATGTAGCAGAACTGTTGTGCAGCTAAACAGTGATGATCACGGCATATAATTCAGGAAAATACGCTGTACTGTATGGTGCTGGTGAGGGGTAAGAGGGGCATAAACTCTCCTGATCTTAGAACTGCACTGATAAAACATTTGTGAATTGTACAGAACACAACAGCAGATGTGAGAAAGTGCTAATGAATGTATCAATTTAAAATTGCATTTTCAGAACTGGACCTGGGAAGTGTTTCTTGTGGGTAGGAATAGGTATGGTCTTTCAGACTGCGGGTTACAAGGAAGTAAACGCATTTTCTGAGCTTTATTTTCCCTTTAGTGTTGCAGTCCCTTTAATGATGATGTTTTCAGCTCACAAATTAGAATTGTCATTAATTTTGTAATAACTGGCAAAACCATTTTTAAAATATTAATATTCTTTATGCTGCTACAAAGCATTTTAAAATTCAATATAAGTGTGAATAGTTGAAAAAAATTAAAAAAGCCTAATTTGATTAAATGTTATTGGATAGCATGAGATATTTTATTTTACTTTAAAATATTGTAAAGAATTCATCCCCAAATTACTAAACTCATACTTTCACAATTGCTGGGTTTTTTTGTTTTTTAATCTTTGGCTTTTAAGGTGGTGGTTGTGTGTGGGAAGAGGAGTACTAAATCAGAGAAATTTTAGTTCTATTCCACCTCTTCTGACTAAGATTTATTGGAAGGTATCTCTCACCCTACGCACCTCTGAAATTATTTCCTGTACTGAAATTCATGTTTCCTGTGTTTCTTAAGTTTCATGTGAACAGGTTTTTGTTGTAGCATCTTATGAGACTTTTTTGGGGTCTCCTTGACTTCTGCAGGCTTTAGAATAAAATCAGGGAGGCCTGATAATGTTGCTTAAATTTACTGGAAAGGCAGATCATAGAAGGTAAGGTGGCTTTCAGAATGACTAAGGATGATTTCTGATGGCAAGAAGCTTTTGAATTACTATGAGACTTATACTGGGTAGGGGCGTGTGGGCTCATGAGGTCTATGAGACTAGCAGATGAAGAGTCTGGTTATGGTTTCAGTGGAAATGGAGTAATTCCTGCTTTTTTGTTTGTTACTACTTTTGCACTGTACTACCTTTGCTGTTGCATTGTTATTTCTACCTTCTTCAGCATCCCACTAAGTTCCAGTCACTTACCTACTCCTCCTTTTGCATGATTTTGTGTTACGCAAAAGAAAAGCACCATAAGTAATATGAAAACATCAGGGGATGTTAGGATTGGCAAGGGACTTGAGAAATTGCTGAACAGGGAAGCATTCCTTTCCTTTTAGACTAAATTAATATAATACGTTTGATTTTGTTCAACCCTCATTCTCTGTTTTCAGGCTAGTGCCTGGCCAAAAATATGTCTACCCATTACTGTTTTAAATTAAGTTTTACTGGGAAAATACTCCTTTTTTCACTGGAAAGCTTCATAACAGTCAATTTAGTCCTTGAGTTTTCTCTCCATGAGGACAGAATCCTAGGCATTGACCTCTCACCATTCTTTTTTTTTAAAAGAATGTCTGTTTTAATATTGTGGAGACAAGTATAACATTTAAGATCACAAGAGGTTTTACAGCCCGAGCTTAATAACTAGTATTTGGGTACTAGGTTTATTCCAAGTGAATATGGCAAATCAATTAAAAAATAATCAAAAAGCCTTTTAAAATTTTGGATATTCATTTTTATAAACTCTTTTCTGCTTCACATTTGTTGTAACACTTTTATCTTGACCATGTTATTGCTTGTGCTCATGAAGAGTGTGAATTTGTAAACAGACCCTATTTGTAGATCTTAGGGGAAGAAAAAATAGATAATCTCATTGTCTGAAGCTCACTGGACAATACTATTGTAAATACATTATTTTTTTTTAAACTGAAAAACATATCAACTACTTTGTAACATTCATGACTTAAACTCCTGAAAATATTGTAAAAATGTAGAAGAGAGAAGACAGGTAAGCAATACTGTGGGGTTCACTAATGCATCTTTCTTTGCCAATGTATTTTCTGCGTTACTATTATCGTTATTCTGTTTTAATCAGAAGTTTAACACTAACTAC